TTCAAAAATGATATGTCCATACTGTTTTAAAATTTATCTAAAGGTATTCTATGATGACGACTATATTATTCTTCCATAAAGAGACACGCAAAAGATATACTACTTATGGATAGAACTTAGAAACTAAGTCCGTCCCTTCAATTAATAAACGCGGACACTAAAACTATAATTATATTCTATTAAATATTAGGTGCACCTTATCCTATCCTTCGAGTAGCGGAGAACCTAACGGGTTACGGGGGCTCCGGCTCGACGTCCAGGAAAAAGAACAGGGTGGTTATTAGTCAGTAAGAGTCTAACACCTCATATTTAATCTCCCGCCTCACCCAGGCGAGAGCATTCGATGATTTTCCACCCTTAAAAAAGTCCTATCCTTCGAAAAATATTGCCATATTATATTGGTCTTAACTTTAGCTGAAATTGTCTTGATTTTTACAGCCATTCTGCAATGCACGCGAGCTTGGACTCTCAAAGGTTACAAAGGGTAAGTGTAATTCTATCACAATGTGATATAATATAATATGTAAGGTACATATATTGTACCTATATATAGTTTTACAGGTATATATCAGTCAATACAATAAAAAATAAGGATAATAAGATAAAAGACGTAGTTTCGTTGTATTTTTTTCAGTAAAGTCATAACTTAACCAAATTATTTATTAACTCGTCGAGTACCGGTTTTGTAGACACAATTATAGAACAATAGGTTGCGGTCACCGGTGACCGCTTGGTGTTTGACAGTTTAACTCGTCGAGTACCGGTTTTGTAGACACAATTATAGAGCAATAGGTTGCGGTCACCGGTGACCGCTTGGTGTTTGACAGTTTAACTCGTCGAGTACCGGTTTTGTAGACACAATTATAGAGCAATAGGTTGCGGTCACCGGTGACCGCTTGGTGTTTGACAGTTTAACTCGTCGAGTACCGGTTTTGTAGACACAATTATAGAACAATAGGTTGCGGTCACCGGTGACCGCTTGGTGTTTGACAGTTTAACTCGTCGAGTACCGGTTTTGTAGACACAATTATAGAACAATAGGTTGCGGTCACCGGTGACCGCTTGGTGTTTGACAGTTTAACTCGTCGAGTACCGGTTTTGTAGACACAATTATAGAACAATAGGTTGCGGTCACCGGTGACCGCTTGGTGTTTGACAGTTTAACTCGTCGAGTACCGGTTTTGTAGACACAATTATAGAACAATAGGTTGCGGTCACCGGTGACCGCTTGGTGTTTGACAGTTTAAATATTTATTTCAATTACAAAAACAACTTATAAAAGTCAAACAATCAACGAAACAAAAATAAGCATATCTGTCTGTGTCTCGGTCACTCCCTAAGTGAAACTGTTTGCTCGTTCCAAAGTGTAATTGTATGAGGAAAATTGTGTAGATAATATGGGCAAAAACGAACAAGAAATTGAAAGAAAGGTAAAAAGCATGATAATTGAGTAGGATTGATCAAGTCTGTCTTGCTAAATAAACTTTCCACGATAATAAAAAATCCACAACATCTGTTCATACAAAAGTAGTCTCTAAACATTGAAAATACAGTCTATAATGGAGTAAGTGGAGATCGCTTACCGGTGACCGCTTCCCCAAGCGGTCATATCATAGGAGTCCCCACTCCGCAGTTGGACAAAGTTGAGGCCTAGTCCGCACCCCATACAGCTGATCTTAGCCAGCGAGCGTTCATATTTTTCCTGCTCGCGTCGCGTCGCGGGGTCGCGATAGATTATTGAGAAATAGTCAACAACCCTTGCGTATTGAACTAGGGGTGGTCCAATAAAAGAATAGTCGATGATAACATAAACCACGCCATGCATTTTTTATGTTGATTTTCATAATCAATCTCCGCAAGTTAACTATATAAAAAGCACGTGTTATAGAAACACGTGTGAAGGTAAATTATTGGATTACATATGTATCAAGAAACATTCTTCTCTGGTTCCTTTTATTCTCTACACACCTGTTGAAATATCTTATAATTTTTTATTCGCGTCAACTATAAATCGGTATCTGTTGAACCACTATAAACCGTGAAATCTATTTCGTTTTCGTCTCTTGGCGTATAAAAAAAAACAAAACAAGATGTAAATTTTTTAGTTGAAAAAATATTTTCATAGAAATACGCACAGGACACACTAGACTCTCAGATATAATATTGTAGTCTTTGCACTAGACATAAAGTAGGCACTATTCGCATCGCACGTGCCACCCGACGAGAAATACCTCTTCGAGAATTACATCGCTTAATGTTTCCTATGCGCTTTCAAAGTTTGCTTTTTGCAATGGTTGAGCAGTTGTTTTTTGTTTTGAACATTTTTTTAATAAAATTATTGTACTACTAAGACAGAATCATTTTACTTCGGAACGTTATGCGACGAATAGATGTAGATTTCACGGCGGCGTATACAAACAAAAAATATTTATTATTTGGCACCGTACCCCTTTTCCTAACATTCCTAAGAGTATTTACGGAATTATCAGTAAATCAATGATTTGTTCATGTGTAGGTACACCTCCTCTAAACTCTTAGTACTTGCATGTAAGCAAGTTTTTTTCTAACATTAAGCCTAGTCTTACAGTATCAGTCTTAAGAAAAACAAGATGCTAAAGAAATCAGTATATGTTTCCTTTTAATTACAGATCGTTCAACAATTCAATAGAAGTTAGCTGGACTAATGCCACACAGCTCATTGATGAAGGATATGTGAATGTAGCTGAGACAACAGTTTTCTGGGCCTTCGGTTTCAGGGGTAGCGAAACAACTCAAGGCACACAAGAATTTGTTGAAAGTACTTTAAGCAATAGCAATTGGTCTGTCGTTGTTGTTAACTGGCCGACGGAAGCTGGCAACGTTTTAATACCAAATTATATCTCAGCGGCTCAAAATACCCAAACCGTAAGTGAATAACATAATGAAAAACAGGTCAGCAATAAGCGCATCACTGAACTACAGGAGAGTTTTTAATATGTAAAACAACAATAAAATCAGTTCTTACAAACAATAACAATCTACTGAGGTTTACGTAATTGTTCAGGGACGCTCTATTGGTTTCAAGTCATACTGTGTCGCACAATCATGAGCTTCGTACGTGGCATTTATTTCACGTGAGCAAACCGTAATTATAAGCAGGAATATGCTAAAGTAGACTGTGTCTGCTGGCAAAGGAAAACATTGCGAGGAGACCTTCCAGGAGTTTGAAATCGCAAATCCGCTTTGAGCGATCGTAGTGTTTAATGCTCAAACCTTTTCCGTGAGAGAAGAAGCCTTTACTCAGCAGTGGGCACTTATAGGCTGATGATGATGATACTGTGTAGAACTAGGTATGTGTAGTAAGTAGGTGATGGGAGTTATTGTAATATTTCTGATCTGCCTCGTTGACCAAGTGGTTGCGAGTCCTGCGAGTGCCGGGTGAGGAGTCTCGGGTTCGATTACCAGATCGGACAAATTATTCTTAGGTTATTAAAAATTCTTAGTAGTAGTACGGGGTTTGGTTTTGGCGCGGTATGTGGCAATAGGCTTACTTCCATTACATGGGACTCATAAGATTAATAGTGAAAAGTGGGTGTTACATTGTACAGTGGCATTAAGTGCCGTGATGTGCACCTCTGCCTACCCCTTTGGGGATAAAAAGGCGTGACGTTATGTGTAATATTTCAGGTTGGTGCAGAGTTAGGACAAGCTATATCTACCATGGTGGCTGGCGGCCTAAACCCGAACAAAACAATATTAGTTGGTTTGTCTTTAGGCGCACAGCTGAGTGGTAGAGCTGGATTTACTGTGAAAAATATAATTGGACAATCATTACCATTGTACGTATATTTTTTTAATGGAGGAAAATTTTCTAAAGAGTTCTCCCGCCTGGGTGAGGCGGGATGTACGTACTTACTTGTATAATACCAGATTCAAATGGCTTAGTTAATGAATACAATACCTTTTTTTAAACTACATGACTGGCCGGAGCTTTCTTCGCATTACTGGGAAAAAAAGAAGACATTGTATTATTAATATATCTCTGAGCCAATTTTCATTCAGATTGATCCAACTGTTCCGATGTCATTAACAAACAACTGACCGAGTAGGTATATATATTTCAATACAAATGCAAAAATCTATAAATCGGCTGTTCAATATTGCCATTTAGGTACAATGGTAAAGTATAGTTAAGCTGTTTGACTTGGAGATTTTTTATATATTTTTTATATATATACAGGATGGAATTTTGTAATGCCACCTGAAGGTAAATACTCTTAACTTTCTAAAGAAGAAACTAAAGAAAACTTTCTTTTATTTTCGAAAAGAAAGAAAACTGCATTCAAATATTTTTGAAATTAGCTTGCCGCTTGAAAAAGTTTCACCCTGTACTTTTATTGCATAGATCGTCATTGTTTACCTTTCATTAAATTTATGATGTTTCTTAGAGAGAGTTCATCCTCATTGACCCTAACAATTGATGCAATAAATGTACAGGGTGCAACTTTTACAGACTTTGTGATTGATCTCAGATCAGTATTATTCGTTAGTATTGTTTATAATTTCACTGTCTTTTTATGTCATAGGTCAATGATTAATATCTAAATTATATGATTATGATATCAAGAATTAAATTTCTTTTTTATATATATTTTATGGGCCTAAATTTTGCCTTTTAGTAAAATTAGCACTAGTGTTACTTGATTTCTGTTTTTCAGAAACCGAGTGTCTCTTTTGTTAACAATTTTATCAATTTATTTATTTCATTCAAATTAGACCTTTTAAGGATTTGGTACTGTAGAATTGACAAATATTTTATAGTTATTTCTGATTGCAGGGTCATAGGTTTAGACGCAGCGAAACCCCTATTCGAACCTGAAGTCATTAGATGTATAAAATCAACTGACGCCACAACTGTGGTAAAAGTCCAAACAGATGAGTACCGGTTTGGTATGTCCGGTAACTTTGGAACACATAACTTCATTGCCAACCCTCAATTTTATGCGACGTTCGGTCACCAACCAGGATGTAGCTTAATTGAAACATTGCCCTTGTTTGATGCAATCACTGCATTTCAAACTGTTGATTTTACAGCTCCACGTACGTATCCATTTCATCCATTAAAATATCGATATTAATAGTTCGATAATTAAGTAGGAAATATAGAGGTCACCTGGAAAGGTTTCCAGTAGTTTCACAATTTTGTAAATTTTTATGTACTCTTTTCGATTTCCATTTTGCACCTTTGTACGTGCGCCACTCGCGCCGCCATCTTGGCAAAATGGCGGCCAAAAACAGTTTCTTTTTACAATATCTCTTTTCCTGTGCATTTTACGATAAAACCGATGACTACAAAAATAAATTACTCAAAATTTTCTACAATTTCGGTCTAACAGCTTTTTTGTAATATACCTCTAAGTAGTTTTGGCGCCAGATCACCGCAAAGTACACTTTTTTGAGCATTTAGGGAAAAATAATAATTTCCACACTACTTACGTGAAAGTAGAGAAAGCGGTGTTTTTTATAGTGTGGTCTTTTATAAATCTAATTCTCTTGTGATTGCTGTACATACTTTAGTAACTGGGCACACTCTCCGGCCCTTAGCTGTTTCTGATGAACACACATAGGAGATTTTATCTTAAGCATCCATCGATGTCATAGTCGTTATTTTTGAATGAAAATGCTCGTAATGAATCTACAGAAGTGCATCGCAAATAATTCGTTCGATATTATAATCTACGACTGCTCGCACATCAAAATCTACAAAATTGATGAATCTCAAAACTTCCGGAAAACATCCCAGGTAGAAGTACCTAATTACTGAACTATAATGTTGTTTTTCAAATAGGCGCTTAACCTGTGCATACATAAGTTTAGAGAAAAATTCCAAAATTTTAAAGTGGTGTTTACACAGTATATGAAATTTAAATAACAATACTTTTAGTCTTTTGGCGCCTTATGGGGGACTGTACCTAAATTTGATAAAGCTATAGCTAATTTTAATTATATAGCTAACTTAGGTATATGGTCAGTATCAGTATGTAACTCTACCAACTTCATGAACAGGGTTCATGTTTTCTTATTTTGTTCCCAGTATTTTGCAGTCACCGAAGGGCAGTGAACTACTTTATAGAAACCATAGAAAACATTTGTTCGATAATTGGCAATCAAGCCAGTAGCGCGACTGCCTGGGTGCTCAGAGGGGGATCGCCATTAAACCTCCTTTGTCTCGGTTACAACATAACCTCAAGGTAAGTTTAACATGAACAATGAACATCATAGAGGTTATTATAATGTGTACATATTACTAGTACAGTATTTGATGTGATTTGATTTACATGACCCTGTTACGGCGCAGCATTTTTACTTATACCTCACTAAATAATCATCAAGTCTATTAGGTACATATTGTATTCATTATTAACTTAATTACTAGCTATGAACTTATTATCATTTAATAGATAAACATTCATTATTTCAATAACAAGATTATAAAAAGTAAAATAATATTTATTTTTTTATTTTACAGCCCCAAAGGAAATTACTATTTCCGCACCAACGCAGAGTCTCCTTACGGTAAAGGTACAGACGGAACCAGACCATTTTAAATTGTCTTATAAGAGGAGGATCATGGTGTTTCCTAAATCAAGAAACGAATTATTTCAACTTATTAATACATTATTTTTGTCTTATTTGTGTTAGGTTTTAACATACACAAATTGTAAGTGTTTTAACTAATAAAAGGAACTAATGAAATATAAGCAAAAAATGTGCTAATAAGTTAATAATAAAATATGTCGTCGAAGTCATGCAATCTTATAAAAATATGAGAAATTCTCGACAAATTTTAGATTTAGGATTGGACAATGTTATCCTACTGGCGTGTTCCTAAGCTTGGGTATATGAATCGACCGCTAAATATTCTATTTTTAACATATGTATGCTATTTACTTATTATCCTAGGATTCATTTTTGATTTATACATTGATCATAATATTGTATATATGTTTTATTGTACTGCCTATAAAAGACATGCCTATTGCATAATATAGGGGTTTTATTTCGTCTGCTCCTATTACAGAATGTATTAAAGAAAATGTAAGAATCGTAGCAATCGCGTGAGGTTATGTATGTCGCGATGGCTCGGAGGTTTAAGACCCACTCATGGATGAGGGTGTGGGTTCGAAACCTACAAACGGCAAGTACCAATGTGACTTTTTCCAAGTTATATATACTTTCTATGATTATCTAGACACCACTGACAAACGGAAAAGAAAAACATGGTGAGGATAACCTGAGCTTATAATTTCTAATTATAATTTATAAGTTTGTAATCGCCAATCCGCATTGAGTAAGCGTGGTGATTAATGCTCAAACCTTCTCCGTGTGGGAAGTGGCTTTGCTCAGCAGTGGGCATATAGGCTGTTGATGAATGGGGTGATATATGTACTTTTATTACAACAATATTTTCTAATCCAAAAAGGTAAGCAGAAATTGTTTTAAATCCCATCAAACCAGCCAGTACGAACATAATTTGAGTGAATACTTGCACTTTTAAAAATGCATGAGCCTAACATGTAATAAATTAATTTTAACATTGTTAAAAGTATTTCCTACTAATAAAAAGTTGACAGATAATAATTACGCGTGCAACAACGAGAAGTCCAAATATGTATGTATATGTTTGTAATAAATACTTGCAACATATCGACTAGTCAGAGTATCTAAAACTAGGCTGGTTATCTGATGGTACAAGTTTCAAATTATAATATTCCTATCTGGCAAGTACCTATGTAAGTTTTTCTGAGTTACTTTCTTAAAATTATATAGACAACATGGAATAGGGCCGAGGGCGGTAAACGGATCGTCAGCTCATTGCAGACACAACACGCGCCGCCCTATTCTGCGCCATAAAATTAGCACATATTTCTATCACAAACATCAACTTCACCAGTCTTTTTTTTTTAAGGGGGGAAAATCATCGAATGGCTGCTCCCGCCTGGGTGAGGCGGGAGGGAGTGTCAGACTCTTAATGACTAAAAACCACCCCGTTCCTTCTCCTGCACGTCGAGCCGGAGCCCCCGTTACCCGTTAGGTTCTCCGCGACTCCGAATCTGCAACAGCCCTATTGGGCCCCATCTGTGGTGGTCTCATGGCTCTTTGAGGCGAGCGCGGAACGCAACGCGCCGTACGCGAACCTTTACAAGTTTTTGTTTACTATGGATAATAAAATTTCTGTATGCTCTGAAGTAAGATTAGAAAAATTGCACTAAGTAAGAGTAGAAAAGTTATAGCGAATTGAATACTGCATGGATGTCCACGCACTTGTGTCGCCCCTGGTGCAGGAGTAAGGTACAATCACCATTTACCAATTTCAGGCGATCCGTAAACTTGGTTTGGTACTAAAAGTACCAAGATTAAAAAAAAGACGGCAAGACTGGCTTGTTTTAAAAACTAGTGCCGAATACTTGCCTGAAATAAAAGTGAATTTATCACCTCTGTTTTTATTACTTTTTATGATAAATGAAATAGATAAAATTAATTGATTTTAACAAACGAATTTTTCAATGACCCAGCTTGTTTTTGATGAATATACATACGTATATGCACATTGTACAGGGTGAACCTCTTTTAAAGTTTTACATTGTAATTTTGAACTACTATGTTAAAAACACAAATTAGGAAGTAGAAGTGAACATTTTAAAAATATATATTATTCTTTATTGTGTACATTAATAGGTATTCTGTATACAGCCAGAAATACCTGGGACATCATGTCAATTTGCATGTTATTTTTAATGAAAAAACCCGTACTATACTGCTTATAATTATGTATAGTAATCATTTACCTACGGGGAAATCGATCTTGACACTTGCTCGAAAGCAACTTATAATAATTATAAGTAGGTACACTTTTGTTTTTATAGGAACATAATTTCTAACAACTCGTTTAGGATCGATTTTCCAAGGCGAGATATATTTTAACAGAGGAATAACTTTGAATATTTGACTTCCACACTAAACATGGTCAAATGTCAATTTTATTTTACAGTTAAGAATAAACTGATTGATGAATCGGCACTAAGTTTGTTAAAACGTGTTAATAACAAAAGTAATCATCCTGTGCCTAATATATAGATATCTTTAAACGAAAAAAGTGTGTTATCATTACCTACCTATGTCAATAAACCGAAATTAATTGTTTATGTATAGCGAAGGTTAAGTAAGAACTAAATTAACTATTTCACTTAATTTTGGTATAAAAGAAAATGATTAATTAGTACTTAGAAGACATAATTCTCATATGCAAGAAGTGTTACTGCCTACCTACGCTGTAACTAAATAATTGCGATAATTAAATTTAAAATCCATCAGAATGTCTCAGAAAATTTGGAAAGTGGTAATATACTTTTCTGGTAAGTTTTGCAAAATTCATTTTCTATGTTTTAACTTAAGTTAGGACTTAAATTAGGAATACCTAATTTAGATTTTTTCCTTCAATTGTTTTTATAATTAAAGGTTTAGGTATACAAATAGGGTACGGCAAAACACATGTAGTTAACTACTGCACTTTCTGCATATTATTAGAAAAGTAAAATATGCGAAAAACTTTACAATAATTTAAATGATTTATTATGTATTTGTATTAACGTTTTCAGGTATTTTACAATTTACGCGAGCTTGGACTTTCAAAGGCTACAAAGGGTAAGACAAACTCATTAAATTTCTATCACAATCCTATCAGGGTGCTTACTCTTGAAACCAATCTCAATGTCAATGCAATTTTAATCCAATAGAATCTCAATAATTATTCAATGTCAAAACTATACAACCACAATCGTAAAATGTTACAATAGCATTCAGAGTACGGAATATTCCAAACTCAATACCATTTAGTTCATGAAATATCCACGCAAAACGGATGCAAAAGGCGCTAGTGTTACTCAAGAGTACGAAATTTCACAACGTACATGTCGATCGATTGGAATTGGATTCAAGAGTAAGCACCCTGGGCGGCAAACGAGAAGACCGATCATATGGTAAGCAATCGGCCGCCAATGGACACCCTCAACACCAGAGGTGTTACAAATACTTGATGGCCTTTTGGAGCTCGGGATTTGAGGATTGACGATTGGGCCTCCGCCCTACCGATACTCACATGGCGAAAAATATCACACTGGTCTTCTACACCAGGGGCCTTAGTAGGTAAGAGTTTGTTTCACGTTTAAAGTAGTCGTAACGAGTACGCGTTCGGCGCCTTGATTGGTTGTTTCATTGGCACCGGCCAATCAGAGCGCCTAACGCGTACTCGTTTCGAATACTTTAAACGTACATCAAACTCGTACTAAGGCCTCTGGTATCCTCCGGTGACGCCGGGTAATTCGAGCCGAAGTATGGCTGTCTCATACAGTCATCATCATCTCATAAAATGCTGTCGCGATTGATAGCGCATACAGCACACAAACATTGTTAGAACAACTATAAAAAATATACCTACTTAATAACACCGATTTTCACACAAACATTGTAATCAATAATCGAGGATCTGGAAAACCACTAAACCGATTTCAACGAAACTTAGTACGCAATGTATCAAGAATTCAAGAAAAAAATAACCAAATTCATAAATCAAACAAAAAAAACCAAAGAAATAAGAGAGACAGGCGATGATTGCTTTGTATGATAGACCGCACGTCTATTTTTTCGTTACAGGTCATTTAACAATTCAATAGAAGTTAGCTGGACTAATGCCACACAGCTGATTGATGAAGGATTTGTTAATTTAAAAGGCATTACACTTTTCTACGCCTTTGGCTTCTTGGGTAGCGAAAACATTCAAGACACAGATAGATTTATAGAAGCCACCTTAAACTATACTGATTGGTCTATGGTACTCGTTAACTGGGAGGATGAAGCTAATCCTGGTGGGTTAGCAAATTATTTCGCAGCGGCCCGAAATAGTCAAACGGTTAGTAAACATATTTATTATTAAAAGAAAAAACTTTAACACTGCTAATTACGTGTAGGTATAACAATATTAATCGCTGTGGGCCCTGGTAGGCATAACTACATACAGATGAGATATTGATTAAAAAAAAAGGAAACAAACGTTTAAAAATATTAGGTAATTTATATACCCACAGAAATGTCCAAATTAGCGGTCGCAAGTGCGACTGTCGGGCAAGGGGTCTCATTATTACTGAGTTTTTAAAAAAAATTCTCAGTAGAAGCACGGAGTATGGAATTGTGCCCAGTATATGGCAATAGGCTCACCCCACCCGCTCATAAATAGTGAAAAGTGCATGTGACATTGTCCAGTAGCATTAAGTGCCACAATGTGCACCTCTGCCTTCCCCTTTAGGGATAAAAGGCGTGATGATATAATGTTGTATTTTTGACTTGAATATCCAGTCACCTGACACTGTGTTACTCTAGAGTTATTGTAATATTTCAGATTGGCACGGAGTTAGGACAAGCTATATCTACCATGGTGGCTGGCGGCCTAAATCCAAACAACATAATATTAGTGGGGTTCTCTCTAGGCGCACAGATGTGTGGTAGAGCCGGTTTTGTTATTCAAAATATCATTGGACAACCTTTACCGTTGTACGTACTTGTATATCACATTACTAATCATAAAAGGGCAAATTTAATTCATATTATATTTACATATATTTATTTAATATTCTCTACAAATTACATTTTTAAATACTACTTACAAAATAAAATATAATATTTAAAAATGTAAAAAATAAAAGCCGACCAATAGCGGGAACATGGTCTAAGCTACCGGTAGTTTTAGTTTAGTGATTTAGTGTTCTAGGGACAGAAACCTCCTCACAATATTATATTAACTCGACTAGTTTCAACCCATGCTAGAGGCTCATATTCATGAGCAGCATTCCGCGACCCGCGACGCGGCGACTGTCGCGCTGCTACTGACTACCTCGTCAAATTATTACGTGAGTAAGCCGAAAACATAATAATTAATTTAGTATGCCTCACGAAGGTTATAATACTAGATTATATTTACAAATTAGCTTCTAGCGGTCGGATTATCCGAAAAAGTGAACAGAAAAGAGGTTATATAATCCAACCTCTGTGGAAATTTTTATCGAGATCGATCCAAGCGTTCTGATGTGATTAGCAAACACGTCCAAACTTTCATTTTTTTCAACTTCTTCTGCGCAGGTTCACCCTCTCTGCTCAGCACCTATTCATCATAGCGTGATGTTCCATTTTTCAATTCGCACCAGCAGTTCTGAAAATCAGCACATGCAAACAAACAAACTCTTGCTTTATATCATAGTACAGTAACACTAGATTATTTATTAGTAATGCTATTTCTGATTGCAGGATCGTAGGTCTTGACGCAGCGAAGCCCCTATTCGAACCTATCCAAATATTTAGATGTATAAAATCAACTGACGCCTCTAGTGTGATCCTTGTCCACTCAGATATGTCACTGTTCGGTGTGTCAGGCAGCTATGGAACACAAAACTTCTTCGCTAACGATCCATATTATACATCGCACGGTTATCAACCAGGGTGTAGTTTGGCCAACACCTTGTTAAATCCTATCTTTTTGTTTGAAAACTTTAATTTTTTCCGTATAGGTATGTACTATCGTAGAAATGTATTATTATTATTATGTCTTTCACGGGATATTGATAACATGTTTAAACTGGTCAATCCCCAAGCGGTTATTGGTGACCGCTTTCCACTAGCTTCATTATAGACCTTATTTCCGATATTTAGAGACTACTTTTGTATGAACAAATGTTGTGGATTTTTCATAATTGGACATTTACGAGTTAAAGTCATTTTCCAAGCAACGAATATATGCAAAATGCAATGCAACATGGTTCTCTTACAAATTCGAAGAAGTAACGCGATTGTTTTGTTTTTTGTTCCCAGTGTTTTGCAGTCACCTCCGGTCAGTGGAGTTCTGGATAGAAAACATAATAAATAATTGCACAATTATAGGCAATCAGGCAAGTAGTGGAGCTGCCTGGCTGCTCTCAGGGGGAACACCCAATAATCTCACTTGTCTCGGCTATAACGCAAGCCAGAGGTTAGTTTTTGAACAGATACTAATTTCATAACATATCTATGTTTTCATTGCTAGCTTAATATGAATAAAGGAAGCCATAGCCAATTAATAACAGTACCTACTTACCAAGTACTATATAGTTAGCTACCTAGAATGCCAAGGTCAAATCATTGCCGAAAATAGTCGAGTAGCCCCGGTCTGGTTAAGTATAATTTAATTTTCGAAATAAAAATTCGATAATTTCGTAATTATGACAGACGTTTAACAAAAAAATCTTGTCACTTCTGTCACGAGATAAAAAACATATTCCATAATTATGATGATATATGGCCGATTAATCGCAATTGCGACTGGCGGTAAGGGGTCTCGGGTTCGATTCCCGGGTCGGGCAATGTATTACTGGGTTTTTAAAAATTCTCAGTAGTAGCACGGGGTCTAGAACTGTGCCTGGTATATGGCAATAGGCTCACCCCCTATTACATGGGACTCATAACATAAATAGTGAAAAGTGGGTGTTATATTGTACAGTGGTATAATGTGCACCTCGAGGATAAAAGGCGTGATGTTATGTTATGTTAATAATTATGATCTATGTGCTAATTAATCTATGGGCTAGTGCTGAAAATCAGCGCCGCGAGTCGAGCTATTGTGCTCGGGTCACGGTATTTAAGTTGAGCTCTGGCCTTTTTGCGCCGTCTACACTATTTTTTTTTTACATTTTATGAGGGCGCAAATAAACGATTCTTCTTTCTATTCTTTCTTACATTTTCAATTATGTAACTGATTGCCTATACAAAGTATAATAAGTCTTTCAGTAAATTTTATAGCTACACATGCAGCCTGAATACTTGTTTATATTTTTCATTTTCCAGCGCCAAAGGAAATTACTATTTTCGGACCAATGCAGAGCCCCTGTATGGTCTAGGCTTAAATGGATCAACACCTGTGTAAAATTGAGAATCAAGATATTTCCTAAAATAAAAATGTTTGATTCCAACTTACCAATGCATTGTTACTTGTCTATTACTTCATTGATTTGATAATACCTACTTGTACTTGAATCTGATTTTTCAATCACACGATAATTTATTCGTAGAATTAAATTAATACATGAAGGTTCTTGTATAGAGAATGTATCAAAAATTTAAAATTAATCCCGCGATAAAGACGCTAAACTATTGTCACAGTGCACTTGAGTAATCCCAGAATTGCAAATGTAATTTTTCCTCTCGCCTCACCCAGGCATTCGATAGTTTTCCACCCTTAACTCGTCGAGTACCGGTTTTCTAGACACAATTATAGAGGTAGAACAATAGGTTGCGGTCACCGGTGACCGCTTGGTGTTTGACAGTTTAAAAAAAGTATATTTTTGACATTTATAAAAGTATTGAATTTGAATAATTGCTATTATGTCCATTTCTCTCGTCATTGGTATTCACATTACAGTGACTAGGCTCATTAACCTACAGAGCTATGAAGCATATAATTAATGCATTTTATGCAGTAAATTCCTTCTATTGTTCTCACATTAAGTAACTAATCTTTTGTCTTAAGTTTAGGTAAACGAAACGTCCTAAGATCGCTAATATTTAGCTCGATGTAGCACAATGTCGTAAGAAATAAGGATCAGTTTCCTCTGCAGAAATGTGATACAAAATAAATATGCATCGTCCACATAATGCTGATTTATTTGTGACTTATTCAATGCATTGAATATTCGTAATGAATATCATGTAATTAATAATATTATTTTACGGCAATAATTCATTATTGCTTGCATTATTTCGGGTATGTAAAAGGAGCATTTTGCATGGAAGCCCAAGTCTCTAGGGCACTGCTGTCCTGGTAGCACGATAACTGTTATATTGGTGATTTTTAATACTTATTCTCGAACAATATTTTCGTCACAATGGCTCTGAAAATTTTTGTAACTATCGTGTTCCTTTTTGGTAAGTGTCGTATTATTTTTATTATATTTTACATATTATATTTTCTAATTCTAATTATCATTATTTTCATCATTTCAGCCTGCGATCACTAGGCATACCTAAGTTTTTCTCTTTTTCCGTCATCAAGTTCTTTGCATCTCTCGTACGTATATTTCCCGCGGTTTTATTTATTTATTTATTTATTTATTTATTCTTTAATGTACATAATTTGTTTATGGTACATAAGCAGTATTGCGGGACTCTTAAATTATGTTGGTTTTGATGAAATCTTAAATATATCGTACCAGTCGTATTACGTCGTGATACCTCGCGTATTTAGCTATGGTCTCAAGTGCGACTACCAAGCAAAAGATGAATTACTTTTTTTATGGGATAAGGCGTTTAACGAGCAAACAGATCACCTGATGGTAAGCAATCGGCGTCGCCCATGGACACCTGGAACACCAGAGGCGTTACATAAGTGCGTTACCGAGTTTTTGGGAATTAGGAATTTAAGGATTGTCGGGGATTCAGGATTGGGGAGATTGGGGAAGGGGAGGGTAATTGGGTGTCCGGTAACCTCACTCGCACGACGAAACACAACACAAGCGTTGCTTCACGTCGGGTTTCTCTAAGGCCGTGGTGTCACTCTGGTCGAGCAGACCGATTCGTGCAGAAGCATAGCTCTCCCACACTTATTATAGAGATGTTTCTGTTACATGTATGCATTAACATCACTATTTACTTACTAAGTAGTGGCCCCCTCACTATAATGTATTATATAATGTAGGACACTTATCAATAATGCTGCTGTCTACCCGTCAAACGGTGTTGCGGGTATACGTCGTGCGCTCTGCACATTATTATAATAGATCCAAGTAAAATAAATTAGACTATTAACTATTAATCCACCAACATAACAGTTTTCAATTATGAAATCATGTTACTCAATAAAGAAACGTTTATTACATTTTCCCAGGGTTTCTCAACGTAGGTTTATATTGTTTGGTATCGGTTTTTTTTTTAAGGGGGAAAATCATCGAATGACTGCTCCCGTCTGGGTGAGGTGGGAGGGAGTGTCAGACTCTTACTGACTAAAAACCACCCCGTTCCTTCTCCTGCACGTCAAGCCGGAGCCCCGGTTACCCGTTAGGTTTTCCGCGACTTGGTATCGGTTAACTAACTTCCCACAGTATCCTAGCCTTCTAAACCGATCACGGTGGTAGAAGTTACAAATTATAATATAAGTAATTTATAACAGATTTTATAACAAAATATTTCATTAAGATTTGTAATATAAGGCTGCGTCCACATCTAGCGAATGCATCTGGTTCTTCCAGTATTCGCGAGTTACCCAATGGGGTAACTTAATGGAGAATAATGATATTCCATTAAGTTTTGTAAGGTATCCAAATCCCTCATCCTTGAATCCTTACCCCAAAAGGCTGGCAACGCATTTGTCACTCTTCTGGTGTTGGAGGTGTCCATGAGCGCCGATTGCTTACATTCAGGTCATCCGTCCGCTCGTCTGGCGGGTTTATACCATAAAAATCCTTATGTTGTTTAGTGTAGGTATAGAAACATAAACGAATCATGATCAGTAGCAGCTAACAGAACTCTGTCTGTTATATTTCTTGTTCTAACAAATAATAATAACTTTCTTTTTAGAATTTTGCACCTACCGCTTTAACATTCTGCACCACCCAATGGTCGACTGTCGGAAAATGCCTACGGCATTAAGTCCGCCAATTTCACTGTATGTGCAATAAAGTTTAATAAATAAATAAATAATAATAATTTGTTTATTTATTTCTCCCATTTTTTACATAATATATAAAATCACAAGGC